AAAATTTACGGAATAGGTTAGTCTATTTCTGTCAACTACAAAGATTGTTTACAAAAGGAAACTGAAAATAACATGGCCTATCCTTGCCAGCTTTTCTTGGGAAGTGGAGTAATATAGTGACTATTGCCCTAAAAGGAAAGTAAAGAGAACTTAGTTTCCATTACTAGTTCTTCATTGATTTATTAGATTCTTATATACTAACTCATCAACTTCTGTGATTTTGTGTTTGTTTCTCAATAAGATAAAAGGTTATAATTGAATAATAATATAATTATGTTAGCAATAATATCATTTATCATGACCACAAAAAATTAGGAGAATTAATAAAGCATTATTTTTCAAAAGCTTGGAACACATGGTGGTTCTGCTGTTTTTATTTTGGCAAATCAAGCAAATAAATGAGTAAAGTCAAGTCTTTTATTACTCTACTGTTTGAATTTTTGAATAATTTTTGTTAATCACTGGCAGTCGTGAGGATTAACCAGGTCTTTTTCCTCCCACTTTATTCTTTTTCAAAAATCAAATCAGCAGAAGACATAGCTAATCTTGTTTACACATGAGAAAGAAGAACAAGACAGGGTTTACTTTCCACTCCACGTTATTTAAACATATCTTACTACAGTAAACTAGAAATTATAAGATTTTCCCATCGATATTTACATTGTTTTTTCTTTCAGAAAAGCCTCATACTCCAGTTACCACTTCTGGCCAAGATATCCTATAATTAAACTTACCGAATAAAGAATAATGTCTATTTTCAGCTAAAAACTTAGAATTGCTACGAAGTTTTATAGTTGTGGGAAACCAAAAGGAGAAGTAGGTTTCATTAAATGTCTCCTAGCTACAAAGTGAAAAGCTATTCTTACATTTACTCCTAATTTAATATTTAGAGGAAGACATATTGATGCGTTTTATTGCTAAATGATATCAAGTTTCATTGATACATTCTGTATGTCATAATATTTTATTTCTAAGTAAACATGACTCATGATGATAGTTTTAGATAAAATCTTATGGATTTTATTGTTATAATTGTAAAATAACATCATGAGAGTTATGCTAATACACCTCTGATTCAAGTTCAGCACTCTGGACTTTATTTGCAACAGAAAACTTCCAAGTATGTGTTTGTGAGATTTATCGGATAAGCATGTTCAGTGCCCCCTCTCCTGGTTTTATCATATTGGTGAACTGACCTCTTCTCCTAAAATTGTGCAGACTGCTGAGAAAAAAACTTGGAAGAACCAAAGAAGACACTCTGGTGTGATAACTCTGATTTGAGTATTCCAAATCCATTCACAAAAAAACCATCCGCCATTGGTACAATTTCATTGTATCTCCAAATCTAATGAGATCTATGAAAATATATAAGATAAATGAATTATTTTAAAACAAAGAATTTTAATGCAATTTAGAGCATCATAAATTCAATGTTATATTTTAAAGTAGATTCTTTTCATACATTTTCTGTTAAGGGTGAATATGGGGCTTCATGGCATCATTCTTTTCTTCGGTATTATCTGGTGATGCTCTCTCTTCTTGATGTTCTTAGCGGTGCCTTGGATTTCTTAGAAGCAATTTCGAACACAAATTTTTAAGTGTGCAAGCATTTGAAAGTCCAGTATGGGGCAAAAAAAAAAAAAAAGTTTCTACAGAATCACTTGCTATTGTAAAGATTTCTTTAAAAATTACTTTCAACTAAAAATTTCCCTATTCAAATATATATATATATATATACATATATATATATGATTTAGATTCTAGATTTTTGTGTGTGTGGTTAAAGAGTTTATGCTGTTCCTGATATGCACTACCGGGAAAACCATTTCCTTTCTACTAACTATATGCTTTTAGTCTTTAAGTATCTGTTAAAAGTCTCTGTGGAGCCCTACATTTCACATATAGCTATCTTTAGTGCAGCATGAAATATATGATTTTTGTATTAAATGTGAAAAATCCTACAGTTTGTAAAGAATCAGAAAGCAAATTTCCTACTTATTAGGGTTTTTATCCACTGATACATCATACCAAGAATTATAAAACTTCTTGGTAATTATTTCCATTTTAATTAATTGCCTTTTAGCCGATTAAAAAAAACTTGTTCTTCCTTTGGAAAATTATACAACTATATAACAAAACAGAAAGAATTTTTTTCATGTAACTGATATTTGGGAAATTATATTACAATCCAAGATAGAGCCATTATCTAAAAACTCAGAGTAGGCAATTTCACCTTTATGCTGTATCATATCCTTACATTTGCAAAAAGGAATGCCACTTTTGGATATTTTAGATCTCACGTAGTCTAAAGCTTGTTTCAGATAACTGTACTGTTTCAAGTTTTAAATGATCAATACACACGTTCCCTCTAGTTGATCAGAAGTGATGGTTTGGCATACAATTTTTTCATCTCTTATTCTTCAGAATTATTTTCTAATTCAAGGTTGAAGTCCACCAATTCCTTTAAATAGGAGATCGATAACTAAATTCGAATGTATTTTTCATGATAATTGCAATTTGCAGGATTTTTAGAGGCAATCCCTAATTTTTAGAGGCTGTATACAGGGTAACATTTCCAAGTTGGTACACGTAAACGAAAAAGCAAAGACCATTTGAGGAAATCCTGTTCCAGGTTTTCGGGCGGCCCGGGTGATTGACACATGATATCACTGGAGGCGTGTCCTGCAGCGGAGGTGGAGGTGGCGGCAGGAGCTGAAATTCTGCGGAACGGGAGTGGGATCGCTCTGTAAGACACGCAGTGGTTTGCAGAGTAATAGCGGCAGACACAGCTCCATGCCCTGGATAAGGAGCAGCTGCAGTGGCTGTACATGTGCCTGAAAAGCAATTTCCAATCTTTGCATTAGGTAAGAACCGTTTCCTTCCTTCCCTTCCGTAGACATTTTAGGAAAGATAAGGTGAGAAATGTTTGCTTTTGCACGGAACCGAAGATTTCTTTGAACTCGCTCTAGAGCTGTTACTGGTCGCATTTCAAAACACCAGCAGCATTCCCATAGCTAAATGCTCTTAAAGTAAATTCTACCGCTTTAAAAAAAAAACAACACAAAAAAAACACAGAATCCCTTTCACTTTTTCCCCTTATCCGAACACTAACAAGTTTTAAAGAGTCTGTAAACGATCGGATGTGTGAAACACAGGGCCGTTTATGCCGAAGAGGGGCCGGCTCGGCATGTGTACCAAATGCGTGTTTGTTTAGGCATTGTTGGCGACCGAATCCCTAGCGAAGTAATGGTTTAAAACCTGAATTTCTCGTCTCTGCGTATTGATTTCCAATGCGCAGAGGCGTTGCTTGGATGTTGAGCTCCTCTGCATTCCAAGGGGCCAAAGCACTTGGGCAAAAACGTGCAGGACTGCATGTTACTGGGTCCGCCGGTGACACGCCACTGTGCGCGGCCTGTCAATCACCAGGAGCAGCAACAGGCAGCACATGGCAGCGGCTGCGGGCTCTGCGGGCTGCGGGGCGTCGGAGCGCCGCAGAGCAAGGAAATATCGTGTGTTCTTATCTCTCTGATCGTCCGTAGCAGGCGCCTTGGCCGCGGAACCGCGGGGTCGGAGCACTGGGAGTGCGCGCTGCCCGGGAGAGGCTGACCTGCAGGACCGGAGCTCTCGGAACGCCGCGTCCCGGCGCCCAGCGTGCGCGGTCTGGAAAGCGCCCGGCCTGAGCGGGGACCTGGGACGACGACGCCCGCCGCCCCTCTCCGGGAAGGACCCCAACCTCGCCTC